CGTAAGTTGTTCTCGTGGGAAAGAGACCATTTCTCGATCCGGTTCATCTAGAAAGGGGTTAATAAGTACTTACACTACAGTAGGTACATACTTATTCTTCGTGTTTCCAGTTTGCTTCCCGTTCAATTGCTGTTATAATATACCATGCTGATGCAATCTGTGTGTTTTTACGCATAGGTATACTGAATGATATTTGGATGCTTTTCTTAAAAAAAATATCAAAAATAGTTATAAATATTGGATAATTTAATAAACTTAGTAGCTTTTCTGCCAAAAAAATTAAAGATTTAACAAAAAGATTAAATATATTGGACAACCTCATAAATGGTCATGGCCCTACTGTATCTGGAGGAGGAAAGGACCGCGTGGAGTATTTTTCTAGTAAAATTATCTTTAGATTTAAACATCTAGCAGTCACATGCTTAAAAAATAAAAATTATAATACAGTATCTGAAGGATTCGAGTTCCGTCTGCTGAATAGTCCGCGTGGATTTTTTTCGACAACGGGCAGTAAAATGCTTAAAAAAAATATCTAAAAGATGTTAAAACAGAAACAACTACACAGTATATTAATTACTTTCGTTGAGGTGGAACGTGGGGTCTCAGAGATGGTGATGACGCCAAATCACATCTCTGCTGCGGAAGCGAAATTTTTATGAAATAAGGAGAAAACAGGAATATTTATAGAATATGTTAAAATTAAATATTATGGAATATATTTATTAGCCCTCGCGTAGTTTATAGAGATGCCTGCCATACCTGAGTATCACTCTCTTTAGTTTCCAAAGAAACTTTGACGTTGGTGATACGAATACGGATCTGTATAAGTTCATGCTTGAATACAGTACCCTTACTTAGCACGAACCATTATCGAATTCGAACAGTTTGCGAGTCCGAAATGTTATTCCCTAACTCCCATGGAGCTCTATGAAGACTATCCACTGCAGGAACCATGATAGTATCGGGTACTATAAAATGGAAGCTGTATTCGAATTCAAGCGGAATTCCGCCATACTACACCGTTTTTACTGTTTATTTAGATAAAAAGAAAAAATAGCAATTGCGTGCTTTAGCACCTATAGCTCGAAACGTTACACTCCTCTTTTAAAACACGCATGTTTTTTTAATTGACTGTTTATAATTGTAAGCAGCGATTTGACAAACTATATATTTGTATTATTATCAATATTCATCTTCTCTGTTCTCATTTTGATTTCGGGCCAGTATGCCGTGCGATATCACTTCCTCTTAATGTTTTATTTAAATAAATTATAAGGTTGTCCTTAACGATAACCTTATAATTTAATTATTAATTTTACAATTATAAACAGTAAATTAAAAAAAACATGCGTGTTTTAAAAGAGGAGTGTAACGTTTCGAGCTATAGGTGCATTTATGCAATTAAACAATTACATTGGTGAAAAGTTGCCATCGTTATTTCGACCTCTGCACATAACGAGCGATTCAATAATGAAAATAGTGTTTAAGAAAATAAATATTTCCAACATCCGCACCAATTAGCCTAGCCCCAAAGTAAGCACTGTAGGCTTGTGTTATGGGATACTAGGGTAACGGATAGAATACATAATATACTGATACAAATATAAGTATATTTATATAGAAATACATATTAAACTGGCTGGACATGACTGGAGTACAAATGCTCGTATTCATCACACAAACATCTGCCCCCACCGGGATTCGAATTCAGGACCTCTCGAGGAGGCTCACCTTGAAACCCGTTCAAACCAGTCCAGGTTTCAAACCGGATTCAACCCCGCATCTTCAGCTATCCAGGCGGATATGCCTAGCACCCTAGAAGGGGGGATTCGGCAAGGCCATTAAAGTCGCGGTAACATACTTGACGACCTCCGTGGCTGAGGGGTTTGTACGCCGGGTTTCATGGACTCGAGAGGTCGGAGGTTCCAATCCCGGTGGGGGCAGATGTTTGTGTGATAATATTTTTACTCCAGGCATGGATGTTTAATATGTACTTCTATATAAATATACGTTTATATTTAGAGTATACGTATTCTATCCGTAACCCTAATATCCCATAGCACAAGCCTTACAGTGCTTTCTTTGGGGTTAGGCTAATTGGTATGAGTGTAGGAAATATTTATTATTTATTTATAGAGGTTAGAGCGTCGATAGAGAATATAGCCAAGTAGTATTCATTTCGACGGATTTTTTGTCTAGTAACATTTTCTTTTAATTTAAACATCTAGCAGCTGCTTAAAATAAAAATAAAATACTATCTGTTTAATAATTCTATATTTTATTTTATCCATCTGAAGTATTTTGTTTACATAATAACTTAACATTCAATTTTCATTGAATTAATTGGGACTAAACACCAAACAACGACAAATTAGGACCCAGCCATCCTAATTTTTCAATCACGCTTTCACATATGTATGAATATGAATGAATTGTTTTGTATGACACAAACAAACGTACTAAAATAGTCTTATTTAATAACAAAACTTTGTATGACATGCCATTATCATGCCCCCAACTGTATCGATAAATTGATATAAATCTCTAATACATAAAATTCTCGTGTCACGGTGTGCGTAATTGAACTACTTCGAAACGGCTCGACCGATTTTCGTGAAATTTTATATGCATATTTAGTAGCAAGAGAAACGGACTACATCTATTTTTCATCCCCCTAAATGTTTAGGGTACCTACCCTTAAATTTTATTTTGATTTTGGACATTTTTTTTGTTTTTATTTTTTATGATACCTCATACAAAAATACATACAACCCTAAATTTTCATTCTTCTACCACCAACCCCTATTTTTATGGCGGTACGGTAGTACACTGGGACAGTTAGTAATATGATTATTTTCTATCTACTTACTAAGTTACATAAAGTAAATATGAGTGAAAGTCTCCGTGAGTTATCTCTTAATAACTACTTACATATGAACGTGTAAACATCGTTAAGTTCCTTCATTATCGCCGTTGAAAGAAAATTTAGAATCTAATATTGATCGTGTCGACATTATCACAAACGTTTTAATGATGTAAACAAATCTTAATCTTGCACAAATCAAGATTGTATCAACGGACGTAAAGAAATTTCTCATGCTTCTAAAAGCGCATGATTTCTGTCGATAATAGTAACTATAGTTAGTAGCATTTCTGATATTCCATTCTATTTCTGCCAAAGAACATTTATAACTGCGATTTGTAGATTACGCAATTTTTTTCTTTATTACCTACTTATGCAAAGCTAGGTGAAATGGATAAAAGTAAGCTATTTTTTTAAGCATTTAACAGATAGATGTTATAAATCAAAAAAAAATATTAACAGAAAAAAATCCACGCGGTCCAGTCAGCAGATGGGACTCGAACCCGCACCCTCCGCAACCCGCGGATGCACTGACCATTATGCTACTGCGGCCCTAATTGCCCGTGTCGAATTTTGTCTTGTACTTCTTATGCTGAAAGGCAGCGCTATCTCTTCGCATTGTAGGTAACATCAAGATCAAGTTCTCAAACATCTTAAATGCTTAAAAATTTAGAAAATATAACCACATTAAAGTAATGGGTCAAGGATACTTTGTATGTTAAGTAAATACTTAATGAAAACAAAAACAGATATCTACTAACAACCCGTCATCGCTACAGTACGGTATTGCGGCGATCTATCCTGATGGGATAGGCCAAACAACAAAGCAAATAACAAACAAATAATATGTTTTAACTCTTTTATTTCATTAGAAATCAAGGCGAATATACTAATTATAGCTTAATATATAACCGTATGCTGAGGTGCCTGATTTCTATCTGCTGGAAACTTCTATCAAACGACAGAAGATTCCCAATTTCAAATCTTTTAAAATCATGACATTACCTTTTTAATACGACTGCCAGCCGTAAACTCTTTGTGCATTACATGAACAAAGAGTTTACCCAAACAAGGTTTCATGCTAGAGAAAAGAAAGTGTATACTCTATCATTTATTAAACCTCTAACTGAAAGTGAAAACTGCAATATTTTGTCCAATACTATTTGAGATTATCTCAATCAGACAAAAACTTGTCTTATGGTAATGTCATTTGATTAAAACCAGCTAGTACCCCATACTTTGACTGTTCAGAAAGGCGTATAACAATGTCACTAACTTATCCGGACTTTGTTTTCAAACTGGCAAAAGTTTGCCTTTCCTTCTTCAAGATCCGTTCTATCCCAAGATATATTATTTGAGTAAGTTTTTCGTCCGTACATAGTGAGTTAGCTAAAATAACACGCGTTCAAAAGTCGATGGAAAGTAGAAAGTTACAAACTTTCGGGGCCCTTCCGATCTTTCAATACTTGTTTCACGTTTACGACACACTTGCCTCTATTGCGTCATGCATGTCAAAATTCTTGCGGTCTGGCATACGCATCAAAATCAAAGGTGCATCAACATAAGTTCCCAATGAGAATATATTATGCATACTTAAAGAAGAAAAATATATTTTAAACTAGATTTTTTTGACGATCGGTTGATGCTATGGCAGCGACGCTGCCTTCAGCTTCGAAGGTCACGGGCTTGAGTCCTTGAAGGGTATATTATATACAGACAGTCCTCGTACTTACGGAATGTTAGGTTCTCCAAATACGCGACGGAAATCGAATCGACGTAAGTCGAGACAGCCCCACGTACGCCGGCGGCCCCACGGAAATTGACCTGCAACAAGTGAATTCTCCTATGCCGGAAATCGAAACAATTGACGTAATTATGCTTGAGGAATAGTGTTAAAACATTGTTTGATGTAACTTGAAACGACGTAAGTCGAGGACTGCCTGTACTTGAACAATCAACATCAATCAACAAAAGAAATGTAATATAATTGAAATTATGATTGTTTTATGGATAAATAATAATTATTTACTAGCCATAATATGAACTCACTTTCGTTTAGAATTAAACATTTCAGGAAATTATTATTATAATATTTATAAGTGACTATTTAAAGATATTTTGTTCTGCCTGTCAACAGAATACCGGAAGCCCACCCTCAGCAAGTCCAAGGAGAAAATCTCTGACGAGGCTGAGGAGAAACTCCTTGACAAAGAGGAGGAGGCCAAGATAGTGACGCGCGTGGACATGACCGACGCCAAGTACGTGGTCGGCGACCACAGGAACGGAGACGCCAAGATCGAGCTCGATGCTAACAAGCGGGTAAGTTAAAAAAAAGTGTGCTCGGGCACACATCTGAAGTGAAACGTCAATGTTTCTATGAAAACTACCGGTCGTAAGAACAAACCTGGTTCCTTCTATAGAAAATTTGATGATGGCGATACGATTCCGGAGTCAAAATTAGTGCTTGCGCCTCAGCACATCCATCACGCACTACGTATAGACAAGGCGCACTTGCGGCAACCACGCTTACTGTTAGGAGTCAACTGGTGGACTAATATCTGCAGACTTTCAGTCAGGTCGTAGAAGAGGCGTAAGACGTTGGATGACTAGACGTTAGAGTGTGCACAGATCGAGGACCACCTGTTAGTACTTTTGGTCAAGATACATCTAATTATTGTGCAATGCCGCATAGAATTTCACACAAAGTTGGTGAACAGCTCGAAGAGCGGTGGCGATCCTTCCCTATCGCACAGAACACAGAAAGAGGTTAGATGGGATCGTAAACCGTTTGTACGGGAACCGTATCGCTGGCTCGTCCTCACGACACTTCCACCTAATAGATATTAGCCAATCAAACGACGCGACATTAAACAATCGAACCAATCGGCGCTCACACCCGAGAGCAACGACGCAATCAAAACCGAGTTTTGGTCAAGTTATGCGCATTTGCTCACATGTAACTGTGGCGCGCCCGCACCGCCCACAAGGCCCTTCTAACCTCTTTCGGTGTTCTGTGCCTATCCGATTTATATGAGCATGAAACCATAGATGTTTTTCGTGAGCGCGTATACGATGATGATGTAAGTTCCCAGAATAATTGTATGCATTTCTTTCTTTTTGGATTAGTTACGAGGCCAGCATCAGATAAGTTTCATAGAAATATTGAGAGAAAGTAATGTACAAAACTCTTGTATTTCAATTTTCAATACTAAATTGCTGTAACGAGTTCTTGTAATACAGTATTGCGTGGACCGATTATTTCCAATCTTAGAACTTTCTACGTGGATACAATGACTATTCTGCTGTTCAATTTTGTATTGTTTAGTTATGTGGATTAAAACAGTAATATTTCTTCAGAGATGGCATGCGGAGATGCTACAAAAAAGCTCGGGGAAATTCGTGAAGGGCAAACTAATGTTCTCATTACTAAAGATTCTATTTATTACTCCAAAGAGGCCACTCAAACTACAAAGGCTATTATAATATTATATACAATCACTTATAATTGTATAACACGTAGAAATGGTTCATTCTGGAAAGCTACTAATTATATGCTATGAATAATCAAATGCTTGTTTCCCTATGCGAGACGTGACTAATAATTTTTGCCATCAAGATCTCAAGATAGCGTAAACACAGCGATATGGGTGATAATCTAAATAGCATAATGACACGTACCTATGTTAAAATAACCACATGAATCGTGGTATGAACTATAGATGTACTATCTGGTTCTTCAATTTTACTATGTAGCATTGACCATTTCCTCATATCGGAGCGAGGTACCCACGCACTGAGAAGTTTAAAAAGGAAGCTCTTTTGAATGAAATAACGACATAAGTACTAGAACTGTTTCTTATTTCGTTTAGTCCTTCTCTACGCTTTATGTAGCCAAAAAAAGGAAAATTCATTTCAATTGTGAAATCACGTATCAGTTCAGTAGGTTTAGATGTTTTTTTATCTTCCTTGCTCCAAATCTTCAAGGACTTGGTTTAGGGAAATATATTTCATAATACCTAGTTTGATAATTTTTTGACCCAGGTATGATAAGAAAAAAACAAATTGACTAAAGGTACCAAACAGCCTTCATTGAGCAAGCATTTAAAAGCTTAATTGAGCACGTAATACAATTAATACATAACATTTTGTCTACTCCGCATCCGGGTCAACCTCGTACATGAAGTCCCTCGGGTTCTTCCTAGTGTTGGCGTGGTGGGCCGCCTCCACCCCCGTGTACACGAAGTAGGATATGATGAACGGCGGTGCCACGATGAATATGCACTCTCGGATGCGACGCAGCATGTTGGGGACCCCGTAGGAGATCGCCCCCGCGAACGGACGCAGCTCGTGTGGGGACACCTTGTACGTAATCAGACCGCGGATCTTTGCCAATTCACCAAAATGGAGGCCCATTGTTGTGATTAAGTTTATTTATCAATAAAATCAATGGCTTTTGCACAACAAAGAGAGAGATATTCCTTCCAGAAAACAAATAGCTGACAAATACCCAAGAAAATCGGTAGTGATTTTTTTCTTTATGGACTTAAAAGAGTATAACGACTTTGTTCTTTTCTATCTTGATTAAAAGTTTACTTTCTTTATTTTTTCCATGTTTTTACATGGTTCTCAATTTATGAGAAGTTCAATAGACTTACCATTCAAAAGATGAGAGGGTCTGAAAATATAATAAAATGAATTGTGTAATTTGATTTAATTAATTAATATGAGAATGGGTCAAATTCTCACTTAATTGAATCGTCACTAATGTTGAAGAATTCATAAAGAAAACCTATTTTAGATGTTCATTACAAATATCGCTTGTTTGAACACCTCTCTGATTATATAGTTCTGAGAACAGGAATCTGCTTCGTCCTAAAGACCTTTAAAAATATCAGAATATAATTCGGAATAGCACGTCCAATAAGATTTTAACTTTGGTAAGGATCTTACATGTTAGTTTCAATATCGGATCCAAATTACCGTCGTGTCGGTATGCCGGTGTTTACGATGTGAAAGTTATAAGGTTATTATAACTCATGGCTGCCCCACAACAGATAGTGATTAAGATTGTATCGAATGCGGTTGAAAGCTCTATAATAGTATATTTTATATTATAGTTTTTATTGTATTCTTTCTTCAATTGTCGAGTATATAATCATTGATATAAGTTCCATTCCAATTGAAGTAAGATATTTACAATAATAATATGTACAGGAACAATGAACCTAAAACTAAAAACTATCACAGACCGGAATGAAGGAGCGGTCTTCTTCTAATACAAGTAACTTAAAAGAAGAAGACCCACACCATGTAAACTTTGATGTAAAAGAATAATAAAGACTTTTGTAATTTGTATATTATATTTTGCAATAACTTGCGTTGTTTAGGTTTTGATTTACAAGTTCATCCTTTGAGATTTATATGAATCGATGATCCATGATTATGTATACGTATCATAGATTGGTATAATGATCGTATTGTATAATGTCTGGAAATGGACTAGAGATAATGCTCATGTGGTTTTTTATATGTTAGTTGACACTTCAGTGTCAATCATTGTGTTCATTTCGTAGAAAATTAAGTTGTTGTTAGTAATTGTATTAGGGATTTAATTTAGAGACTTGAAATCTACGATTTGTGTTATATACTATTGCTTATTACTTTATTTAATGTTTTTCAATTACTTAGTAAAATCAAATATGCTTTCAAATGGCATTTACACTCCTTACTTGATTTCGTCGGCTGCAACTTCAAGAAAGGTTCAGTACTTCAATTCGTACTTTTTTGAAATAAAATCTTTACTATTAATTATTAAATAATATAATATAAAATTAATTTAATAAAGAATATATTCCTATTGAATGTGCTCATTTTCTCACCTGTAGCGCAGAATGCCAAATGTCGTGGGTTTGAATACATTTCAGTTTATTTGGGTAAATGAGAACGTAGTAAATTTTTTGTTACTATTTACTTATGTATAATAAAAGTTATTTTAATTTGTAATTTCCTTGATTTTATTTCATAATGAAAATATGTATATAAAGTTTTCCGACGACGAATCCAACTAAATTATCTACTACTTATTCGGCTTAGCCAGGCAAAATAATGGAAAAGTAAATTAGGTAGCAATTGTGTACTTAATTCTGTGTACCTTTTGACATTATTAATTTGTGATTCAACTTTTAGTTTTACGGCGTACAGCTAATATATATTATTTTCATTTGTATGTACAGCAATTCTCCGGACTGACCAAAGAGGAGTTACTCAAGTATGCGGACGACCCGTTCTGGGTGCGCCTGCGCTGGTTCATGTTTGTGCTGTTCTGGGCACTTTGGCTGGCCATGCTCGCCGGCGCCATAGCCATCATAGTCCGCGCGCCTAAATGCGCAGCCCCTACACCCAAAACCTGGTAAGTATTTCTTTAATATTACCAGATGACCCGACAGACGTTGATTTGAAATAGAAAAAAACTATAAAATTCCGACTACAGCGCCACCCATGGGGAAGAGATTTAAGTTATTTTCTTAAAGTTTTTGCGCAACTTCCTTATTTTTTTTCCAATAGAACCTACATAGTATTACAAAAGATGAATGAAATGGTAAAGTCTCGAGTTATGTCACTGAAAGTTCTTGGTTCAAATCCATAAGTGTTAAGGCGCGATTACACTTGGTCGTTAGCTTGAATACGAGTGCCAATGGAATTCGGGCAAACGACTAAGTGCAAATGAACGGAGTCGAGTACGCCTGTAATCGGGTCGATTTCCTTTTGAATACCCGACACCGTCTTCCAGCCCGTATTCCAGTGTAAATATTGCTTCGGGTGCCGGAATTCGAGTAATGTCTTTCGTGCACCCGAATACGGACTAACGACCAAATGTAATTGTGACATTACACAGGTCTACCACATAATTTTTATGTATTGTTATAGTGGAGACCGCGTCTAGGCAAACGTAGTGTAGGACGTCCTCAGGCACGGTGGAGTGACGATTTGCGCAAGGTGGCTGGCAGGAGCTGGATGCGAGTAGCACAAGATCGGTCTGAGTGGCGTGCAATTGGAGACCTATGACCAGCAGTGGACTGGGATAGGCTGTTGATGATTGTTATATTGACTTTAATAATTTACTTATCATTCATAATTCCATTAGGTACGAAAAAGGCCCCCTGGTCGACGCGAGCTATCTGGACTCTTACGAAGATCTGGAGAGCTTGCTGCCGACCCTGAAGTCTGCCCACATTCAGGGTGTGTTCACCAACATCGCGCCAACATATGAGATCCTCGACGGAGAGGACGTTGTCACACGGTTCAAGAAGTTCGTGGCCAAAGCTAAGGACCTTGGTGTACGGTTAGTAACGGTTCTGTTTCTTCTAGAGACTGCCGGAATTCGTATTCCCTTATTTTGTATATTTTTTTTATAGCTAAGCTAGGTCCGACTAGTGACTCCGCCCACCTGATGTTAAGTGACAGTGAAGACCAGACGTGGAGATAACTGGTACAGCAGTTCTACCTACCTTATTCCAAAACGCGGACTAAAGTTAGTCTTGGTTTAAAACTAAGACAGCATCAGTTTTCGGATCGCCCATACTACACTTCCACCTAATAGATAATAGCCATTCAAATGACGCGACCTCAAACAATGCAATTAATAAGCGCTCACACCCGAGAGCAACGACGCAATCAGAATCAAGTTTTGGTCAAGTTATGAGCATTTGCTCACACATAACTTTGGCGCGCGTACCCGTCCCACAAGGCCCTTCTAACCTTTCGGTGCTCTGTGCATACTAAAAATAAATGTTACATTGAGCAAAAAGCTCTTGCGCAGTTTTGAAGATGATTTATTCTTTTTCGTCTGTTTAATAAACTTTATTATTATTTTGTCAACCTGATATATATTATGCTACATACAGCTGAAACTTATAACACTAAGTGGGTTGATGGATGTATCCGGAAGTTTGTTTTTTTTCTATTAAATCTTAATGTACATACATACAGTTTGTCTATAAAGTCGTGACATTAAATGATGGCGCCACTAGTATGCATGTAGCAACCCTATACAGTCGAACCAAAATGATTTTGATACTAGCAGCTCATTCAAGTAAAATAGATAATTAATAAGACACACTATACAGTCGTATTTTGTTTCTGTTTTATATATAGTAGGTACCTATGCTTATAAAAAGTTTAGCCAAGCATATTTAATTGAATCAGAATAAAATTATTATAGATAAAATAGTACTTTATAGTGTAAAAGTGTGTACTGTTGGTGATTACCGCGGAGGTTTTTGACACCCTTGTTAAGAAAATAATACTAAAAATCATTTTAAGTAAGTAAGTATATAAAAAATTTATTTAGAGAAACAATTTGTAAATGTGCAGTTAGTAAAATTAGTGATAGGTATCTTCACTAAAAGCATCTGGCCATGGTTCTTTATGTGACCATTTCTTTCTTTGGTCGGCCTTACCTGTTTTCCCAGAAGTTTCAAACTTTCCATCATTCTTAAAACCTTCGTTGACTATCCGACTCTCTAATTTTCCTGAAAAAATGTAACGGAATAGAAACAATAACTTATTGACATGAAGCAATTTAAAATTGGTAGAAATTCTGACCGAGTTGAACCATAATAACGTATCAAAAGAAATGGTCGTACTACAATATTACCTATTTACAATGTCAATCTAACCTAAAAATGTGCAATGTAAACAATGCCTTTTTTTGGTCTCAAAATTGTAAATTGAGTAAATTTGTAACTTCAAGCAGATTATAAACAAATAGTTACACGATTACATACCCGTCATAGATGGTGTTCGCCCATAAACATCATCCAAATTCCACAAAATTCGTCCAGCTTGGTAGTCTTCGAAACATCGCTGGAAAACTGAAAAATCACTTCCCGCGTGCCACTCCGATTTACTTTACTCATTTTTATACCTTTCTGCGTAGTTTCGTCTTAATGTATTACAGTTTAATCCAAACAATAAAAAATACAAAAGGAAAACTGTGCCACAGCTGAAACTCGATGACAGCTGATGTACATAAGTTTGGTGTTGCCAGACACATGAATAATGTTAGTTCCTCAAACATTCATGTCACGACTTTATAGACAAACTGTAGTACAGTGGATTTCGAGTATAACGACGGTGAAGGGACCATTCCGTTGTCGTCATTATATCCGGAAGTCGTTACAATCAATTGTGTAGAGACAGAGACGTATATACACATGTAGAGTTTATATTCATTTATAAATTATTTCCGCCTTTGCTTTAACAGTGAATATGCGTCTAGCAGCCATACTTATTCAAAAGTTCATTTAACCCAGTTTCTACTCAGAATATCACTTTGTAACTGAACCATAAATTTAACTCCGAAACGTACACGCTTCCCTTCCTATTTAGCTGTGATATCTATAAACAAAAGTAAAAATTCTCCACACTTGCTGGCCGTCTGTGTGGATATAAACAAAAAATAAGAAATGTTTGTGAAAGAAAGAAATCTTAGTGTCTTTGGCGGTCATGGGATTTCTAGGAATTTGTTAAAAATGATTCATTAAAAACAGTCGCTACACCCAAACTCAGCGTTACATCCAAAGTGGATATAGCCACATGAATTTTGAAATAAAGTATGCTTTAAATTAGAGGAACTTAGATTTATCGTCGCTATAGGTAAAAAAAGATCGCTACAACCAAGGTCGTAATAAGTGAACTCCACTGTATACACGTTTTATCGTAACAGGGTGATAGTGGACTTGACGCCCAACTTCGTGTCGACCGCCCACACGTGGTTCGAGCTGAGCGTGAACCGCACGGCGCCCTACGACAAGTACTTCACGTGGGCCAAGGGGGGCGACTACGTGGACGGGGACACCGGCAACGTACCCAAACCGCCGAACAACTGGGTGGGTGCAACAATCTTGAATAATAAAAATCATAATAATCAAAATCATTTTTATAATCATTTGTATCCCTTGTTTCTTTTACTTAACAGCCGCCTCCAGCTTTCTTTCAATCCTCTCCATCCAAAGGTTGTTTGAAGCACTTTGTTTTTGTACAATTGTATTGTAATTTCCTTCATTTCTGTTCTGTGTTGTGGTGTTTTCAATAAAGACTGATTACAAAATTTCACATTCCAAAGTAAATGATTTGCTTTATTCACAACACTTCAATTTAGTAGTATAATGCGTTTAAGGTTGGGAATGGCTACATTATTAATGTATAAGGTCTTTTTAATGTCACTTTTTTTTAACTATGATTTTATATTGGGAATAAAATTAGTATTTATATTCAATAAATCTTTAATAACAACGAAATATATACTATTGGTCACACTTCTCTACTTCTTTGTATACTTTCGCCCTTTCGTTTGAAATCGATTTCAATAGATAAGTATTCTTTGATTGCCGATTTTCACTTCTCAAATGAAACTTATCTGTCAATTTGTTTCATTCACCCAGATATCGACAATGAACACACCTGCGTGGGAATGGAACGAGGCTCGCAAGGAGTTCTATCTGCATCAGTACGGTGCCGATCAGCCCGACCTCAACTTCCACAATCCTGATGTCGTTAAGGAATTCGACAAAGTGCTCCGAGCTTGGATGAAAGCTGGCGCGGCTGGAGTCAGGTATGTTTCAGATGATGTCAATGGAATCCCGCGATAATACCAGATAGTGGGTACAATAACTAATTTTATAACACATTTTCTCGTAAAGCGTCTCTTATTCAAATTCAAGTTCAGGAGATTGGAATGGATCAGGTAAAATTGCAAATTAGTAATACAATGGCAATAAATAAAGCATTTATGGGAACCGTTATATATAAATACATACACACACAAAAACACACACATGCGCGCATACGCTCACACACACTCATACACACACACACACACACACACACACACACACACACACATACAATTACATTTTTTTTTTTTTTTTTTTTATTATTGTGTTTAAGTTCTTTCTTTAGCACTTCTCATATTAATTAACACATTAATCACATAAATGGTACAGGGGTGGCTTACTCTGTTCATGTAGTTTTGGGAGTGGAGGCCTGGTGTCTTGTAGAACAGGTTTATCCTATTGCAAGCACCAGTCTTCACATTAAGTGGTGAGGTGTTGTAATTAAGCACTTTATTGTAAATTTTTCTACTTATGTGAAGAAATAAATAAAGAATTTATTATTATTATTATTATTATTATTGCACCAATTTCAATATCATAATCTATCAGATTATACACACACACATCATTATGTTCCGTCTATAAACGAACGATACTTTTTTAAATCTTAGCAAAGAGTTTTTATGTCAGAAAGGTAGCCAACCTTTTCTTAATAAAATTAACTTTGGGAGATAAAATATAAATATGTAATTCTTTAATTTGATTCATTTTGACAATAAATTACAACCATGTATCGGTAACAAATCCACAAAAATATTAATTTACTTCATTATTAACACCGGCTGTTTTTTGTTCCTTTGCCTAATAAAACTGTTGATGCGCGCGCATCGCTAATCCGTGAAAAAGTTATATCTTTTTCTTTTCGCTGTATTGTTTTTATTTGAAAATATTGTCAAATAGTAACGAATTCATAATTTGACACCGCTAGAAGTCGAAAAAGGCAACGCTAAGCCTCTTGCCCGAAAAATCCAGAAATAGATACTTACCGTCAAGTGTATCAAAATTTCACCTTACGGAAAACAAACAAAGGTGCAAATTCATTTTCAGAAAGTACGTACATAGGTAGTATTATTTTCTCGCAAATGTGTTATAAAACGTCGTATGATATAAGTGCGGTTTGATAATTACAGCCTCTGCCTTCTAACAATATCGCCTCGGCTGTAATTCTCAACTTACCGCACTTATATCATAATGAACTATAAAACAATTGTAAATACATAATAGAGAATGTGCAGCATGTTGTAATTCAATGAAACCTCTTTGTATTTTAATATAAACTCTATTACCTTTAGGTTATCCTTCCATCAATATTTATTCAATATTTGACGACCTCCGTGGCCGAGTTGATTGATTGTACGCCGGGTTTAATGGTGTCGCCGACTCAGGTGGTCCCGGGTTCGAATCCCGGTGGGAGCAAATGTTTGTGTTATGAATACGAGCATTTGTACTTCTGTCATAGATGTATGATATGTATTTCGATATAAATATACTTATATGTACAGTATATGTATTCTATCCGTTACCCTGGCATACCATAACACAAGCCTTACAGTGCTTACTTTGGGGCTAGGCTAATTGGTGTGTTGGAAATGTTAAAAAAAAAAATTAATACAATTTAAAGAAAATATAACTAGAAAAAATTCCACGCGGACCAGGCAGCAGACGGGACTCGAACCCGCACCCTTCGCAATCCGGGCGAATGCACTGACCAATTATGCTACCGTGGCCCTCACGGACCGCGTCGAAATTCCTTCTAGCTATTCTTAAGCTGCAAGGCAGCGCCATCTCTTCGCATTATAGGTAAACCCACAATGTCAAATGAATACTTTTACAAGTATTAAACATTTGAAAGAAGAAATAGCAATTATAGTTATAATTTTTATTATTTTTAAAGCATGTAACTGCTTGATGTTTAAATCTAAAGAAAATATAACTAGAAAAAATTCCACGCGGACCAGGCAGCAGACGGGACTCGAACCCGCACCCTTCGCAATCCGGGCGAATGCACTGACCAATTATGCTACCGCGGCCCTCACGGACCGCGTCGAAATTCCTTCTAGCTATTCTTAAGCTGCAAGGCAGCGCCATCTCTTCGCATTATAGGTAAACCCACAATGTCAAATGAATACTTTTACAAGTATTAAACATTTGAAAGAAGAAATAGCAATTATAGTTATAATTTTTATTATTTTTAAAGCATGTAACTGCTTGATGTTTAAATCTAAAGAAAATATAACTAGAAAAAATTCCACGCGGACCAGGCAGCAGACGGGACTCGAACCCGCACCCTTCGCAATCCGGGCGAATGCACTGACCAATTATGCTACCGCGGCCCTCACGGACCGCGTCGAAATTCCTTCTAGCTATTCTTAAGCTGCAAGGCAGCGCCATCTCTTCGCATTATAGGTAAACCCACAATGTCAAATGAATACTTTTACAAGTATTAAACATTTGAAAGAAGAAATAGCAATTATAGTTATAATTTTTATTATTTTTAAAGCATGTAACTGCTTGATGTTTAAATCTAAAGAAAATATAACTAGAAAAAATTCCACGCGGACCAGGCAGCAGACGGGACTCGAACCCGCACCCTTCGCAATCCGGGCGAATGCACTGACCAATTATGCTACCGCGGCCCTCACGGACCGCGTCGAAATTCCTTCTAGCTATTCTTAAGCTGCAAGGCAGCGCCATCTCTTCGCATTATAGGTAAACCCACAATGTCAAATGAATACTTTTACAAGTATTAAACATTTGAAAGAAGAAATAGCAATTATAGTTATAGTTTTTATTATTTTTAAAGCATGTAACTGCTTGATGTTTAAATCTAAAGAAAATATAACTAGAAAAAATTCCACGCGGACCAGGCAGCAGACGGGACTCGAACCCGCACCCTTCGCAATCCGGGCGAATGCACTGACCAATTATGCTACCGCGGCCCTCACGGACCGCGTCGAAATTCCTTCTAGCTATTCTTAAGCTGCAAGGCAGCGCCATCTCTTCGCATTATAGGTAAACCCACAATGTCAAATGAATACTTTTACAAGTATTAAACATTTGAAAGAAGAAATAGCAATTATAGTTATAATTTTTATTATTTTTAAAGCATGTAACTGCTTGATGTTTAAATCTAAAGAAAATATAACTAGAAAAAATTCCACGCGGACCAGGCAGCAGACGGGACTCGAACCCGCACCCTTCGCAATCCGGGCGAATGCACTGACCAATTATGCTACCGCGGCCCTCACGGACCGCGTCGAAATTCCTTCTAGCTATTCTTAAGCTGCAAGGCAGCGCCATCTCTTCGCATTATAGGTAAACCCACAATGTCAAATGAATACTTTTACAAGTATTAAACATTTGAAAGAAGAAATAGCAATTATAGTTATAATTTTTATTATTTTTAAAGCATGTAACTGCTTGATGTTTAAATCTAAAGAAAATATAACTAGAAAAAATTCCACGCGGACCAGGCAGCAGACGGGACTCGAACCCGCACCCTTCGCAATCCGGGCGAATGCACTGACCAATTATGCTACCGCGGCCCTCACGGACCGCGTCGAAATTCCTTCTAGCTATTCTTAAGCTGCAAGGCAGCGCCATCTCTTCGCATTATAGGTAAACCCACAATGTCAAATGAATACTTTTACAAGTATTAAACATTTGAAAGAAGAAATAGCAATTATAGTTATAATTTTTATTATTTTTAAAGCATGTAACTGCTTGATGTTTAAATCTAAAGAAAATATAACTAGAAAAAATTCCACGCGGACCAGGCAGCAGACGGGACTCGAACCCGCACCCTTCGCAATCCGGGCGAATGCACTGACCAATTATGCTACCGCGGCCCTCACGGACCGCGTCGAAATTCCTTCTAGCTATTCTTAAGCTGCAAGGCAGCGCCATCTCTTCGCATTATAGGTAAACCCACAATGTCAAATGAATACTTTTACAAGTATTAAACATTTGAAAGAAGAAATAGCAATTATAGTTATAATTTTTATTATTTTTAAAGCATGTAACTGCTTGATGTTTAAATCTAAAGAAAATATAACTAGAAAAAATTCCACGCGGACCAGGCAGCAGACGGGACTCGAACCCGCACCCTTCGCAATCCGGGCGAATGCACTGACCAATTATGCTACCGCGGCCCTCACGGACCGCGTCGAAATTCCTTCTAGCTATTCTTAAGCTGCAAGGCAGCGCCATCTCTTCGCATTATAGGTAAACCCACAATGTCAAATGAATACTTTTACAAGTATTAAACATTTGAAAGAAGAAATAGCAATTATAGTTATAATTTTTATTATTTTTAAAGCATGTAACTGCTTGATGTTTAAATCTAAAGAAAATATAACTAGAAAAAATTCCACGCGGACCAGGCAGCAGACGGGACTCGAACCCGCACCCTTCGCAATCCGGGCGAATGCACTGACCAATTATGCTACCGCGGCCCTCACGGACCGCGTCGAAATTCCTTCTAGCTATTCTTAAGCTGCAAGGCAGCGCCATCTCTTCGCATTATAGGTAAACCCACAATGTCAAATGAATACTTTTACAAGTATTAAACATTTGAAAGAAGAAATAGCAATTATAGTTATAATTTTTATTATTTTTAAAGCATGTAACTGCTTGATGTTTAAATCTAAAGAAAATATAACTAGAAAAAATTCCACGCGGACCAGGCAGCAGACGGGACTCGAACCCGCACCCTTCGCAATCCGGGCGAATGCACTGACCAATTATGCTACCGCGGCCCTCACGGACCGCGTCGAAATTCCTTCTAGCTATTCTTAAGCTGCAAGGCAGCGCCATCTCTTCGCATTATAGGTAAACCCACAATGTCAAATGAATACTTTTACAAGTATTAAACATTTGAAAGAAGAAATAGCAATTATAGTTATAGTTTTTATTATTTTTAAAGCATGTAACTGCTTGATGTTTAAATCTAAAGAAAATATAACTAGAAAAAATTCCACGCGGACCAGGCAGCAGACGGGACTCGAACCCGCACCCTTCGCAATCCGGGCGAATGCACTGACCAATTATGCTACCGCGGCCCTCACGGACCGCGTCGAAATTCCTTCTAGCTATTCTTAAGCTGCAAGGCAGCGCCATCTCTTCGCATTATAGGTAAACCCACAATGTCAAATGAATACTTTTACAAGTATTAAACATTTGAAAGAAGAAATAGCAATTATAGTTATAATTTTTATTATTTTTAAAGCATGTAACTGCTTGATGTTTAAATCTAAAGAAAATATAACTAGAAAAAATTCCACGCGGACCAGGCAGCAGACGGGACTCGAACCCGCACCCTTCGCAATCCGGGCGAATGCACTGACCAATTATGCTACCGCGGCCCTCACGGACCGCGTCGAAATTCCTTCTAGCTATTCTTAAGCTGCAAGGCAGCGCCATCTCTTCGCATTATAGGTAAACCCACAATGTCAAATGAATACTTTTACAAGTATTAAACATTTGAAAGAAGAAATAGCAATTATAGTTATAATTTTTATTATTTTTAAAGCATGTAACTGCTTGATGTTTAAATCTAAAGAAAATATAACTAGAAAAAATTCCACGCGGACCAGGCAGCAGACGGGACTCGAACCCGCACCCTTCGCAATCCGGGCGAATGCACTGACCAATTATGCTACCGCGGCCCTCACGGACCGCGTCGAAATTCCTTCTAGCTATTCTTAAGCTGCAAGGCAGCGCCATCTCTTCGCATTATAGGTAAACCCACAATGTCAAATGAATACTTTTACAAGTATTAAACATTTGAAAGAAGAAATAGCAATTATAGTTATAATTTTTATTATTTTTAAAGCATGTAACTGCTTGATGTTTAAATCTAAAGAAAATATAACTAGAAAAAATTCCACGCGGACCAGGCAGCAGACGGGACTCGAACCCGCACCCTTCGCAATCCGGGCGAATGCACTGACCAATTATGCTCTTTAGATTTAAACATCAAGCAGTTACATGCTTTAAAAATAATAAAAATTATAACTATAATTGCTATTTCTTCTTTCATATGTTTAATACTTGTAAAAGTATTCATTTGACATTGTGGGTTTACCTATAATGCGAAGAGATGGCGCTGCCTTGCAGCTTAAGAATAGCTAGAAGGAATTTCGACGCGGTCCGTGAGGGCCGCGGTAGCATAATTGGTCAGTGCATTCGCCCGGATTGCGAAGGGTGCGGGTTCGAGTCCCGTCTGCTGCCTGGTCCGCGTGGAATTTTTTCTAGTTATATTTTCTTTAGATTTAAACATCAAGCAGTTACATGCTTTAAAAATAATAAAAATTATAACTATAATTGCTATTTCTTCTTTCAAATGTTTAATACTTGTAAAAGTATTCATTTGACATTGTGGGTTTACCTATAATGCGAAGAGATGGCGCTGCCTTGCAGCTTAAGAATAGCTAGAAGGAATTTCGACGCGGTCCGTGAGGGCCGCGGTAGCATAATTGGTCAGTGCATTCGCCCGGATTGCGAAGGGTGCGGGTTCGAGTCCCGTCTGCTGCCTGGTCCGCGTGGAATTTTTTCTAGTTATATTTTCTTTAGATTTAAACATCAAGCAGTTACATGCTTTAAAAATAATAAAAATTATAACTATAATTGCTATTTCTTCTTTCAAATGTTTAATACTTGTAAAAGTATTCATTTGACATTGTGGGTTTACCTATAATGCGAAGAGATGGCGCTGCCTTGCAGCTTAAGAATAGCTAGAAGGAATTTCGACGCGGTCCGTGAGGGCCGCGGTAGCATAATTGGTCAGTGCATTCGCCCGGATTGCGAAGGGTGCGGGTTCGAGTCCCGTCTGCTGCCTGGTCCGCGTGGAATTTTTCTAGTTATATTTTCTTTAGATTTAAACATCAAGCAGTTACATGCTTTAAAAATAATAAAAACTATAACTATAATTGCTATTTCTTCTTTCAAATGTTTAATACTTGTAAAAGTATTCATTTGACATTGTGGGTTTACCTATAATGCGAAGAGATGGCGCTGCCTTGCAGCTTAAGAATAGCTAGAAGGAATTTCGACGCGGTCCGTGAGGGCCGCGGTAGCATAATTGGTCAGTGCATTCGCCCGGATTGCGAAGGGTGCGGGTTCGAGTCCCGTCTGCTGCCTGGTCCGCGTGGAATTTTTTCTAGTTATATTTTCTTTAGATTTAAACATCAAGCAGTTACATGCTTTAAAAATAATAAAAATTATAACTATAATTGCTATTTCTTCTTTCAAATGTTTAATACTTGTAAAAGTATTCATTTGACATTGTGGGTTTACCTATAATGCGAAGAGATGGCGCTGCCTTGCAGCTTAAGAATAGCTAGAAGGAATTTCGACGCGGTCCGTGAGGGCCGCGGTAGCATAATTGGTCAGTGCATTCGCCCGGATTGCGAAGGGTGCGGGTTCGAGTCCCGTCTGCTGCCTGGTCCGCGTGGAATTTTTTCTAGTTATATTTTCTTTAGATTTAAACATCAAGCAGTTACATGCTTTAAAAATAATAAAAATTATAACTATAATTGCTATTTCTTCTTTCAAATGTTTAATACTTGTAAAAGTATTCATTTGACATTGTGGGTTTACCTATAATGCGAAGAGATGGCGCTGCCTTGCAGCTTAAGAATAGCTAGAAGGAATTTCGACGCGGTCCGTGAGGGCCGCGGTAGCATAATTGGTCAGTGCATTCGCCCGGATTGCAAAGGGTGCGGGTTCGAGTCCCGTCTGCTGCCTGGTCCGCGTGGAATTTTTTCTAGTTATATTTTCTTTAGATTTAAACATCAAGCAGTTACATGCTTTAAAAATAATAAAAATTATAACTATAATTGCTATTTCTTCTTTCAAATGTTTAATACTTGTAAAAGTATTCATTTGACATTGTGGGTTTACCTATAATGCGAAGAGATGGCGCTGCCTTGCAGCTTAAGAATAGCTAGAAGGAATTTCGACGCGGTCCGTGAGGGCCGCGGTAGCATAATTGGTCAGTGCATTCGCCCGGATTGCGAAGGGTGCGGGTTCGAGTCCCGTCTGCTGCCTGGTCCGCGTGGAATTTTTTCTAGTTATATTTTCTTTAGATTTAAACATCAAGCAGTTACATGCTTTAAAAATAATAAAAATTATAACTATAATTGCTATTTCTTCTTTCAAATGTTTAATACTTGTAAAAGTATTCATTTGACATTGTGGGTTTACCTATAATGCGAAGAGATGGCGCTGCCTTGCAGCTTAAGAATAGCTAGAAGGAATTTCGACGCGGTCCGTGAGGGCCGCGGTAGCATAATTGGTCAGTGCATTCGCCCGGATTGCGAAGGGTGCGGGTTCGAGTCCCGTCTGCTGCCTGGTCCGCGTGGAATTTTTTCTAGTTATATTTTCTTTAGATTTAAACATCAAGCAGTTACATGCTTTAAAAATAATAAAAATTATAACTATAATTGCTATTTCTTCTTTCAAATGTTTAATACTTGTAAAAGTATTCATTTGACATTGTGGGTTTACCTATAATGCGAAGAGATGGCGCTGCCTTGCAGCTTAAGAATAGCTAGAAGGAATTTCGACGCGGTCCGTGAGGGCCGCGGTAGCATAATTGGTTAGTGCATTCGCCCGGATTGCGAAGGGTGCGGGTTCGAGTCCCGTCTGCTGCCTGGTCCGCGTGGAATTTTTTCTAGTTATATTTTCTTTAGATTTAAACATCAAGCAGTTACATGCTTTAAAAATAATAAAAATTAATACAATTTTCTTTTCGGGGAAGAAATTAATTATATAAAAGTGCGAAAAATAGGGTATTTGACATGTTTTAGAAAACGATCTCACTTTATTCACTAATGTCTACGTAGTCCGTGTATATTCATAATTCTGTTGAGTAAATTAGTAAAAACACCTAAATTAATAATTCTATTTTCAATTTACAGCTAAAACGCTTCTCTGGACATTATGGTGTCTCAGTGGTGTATTACGTCACACGGCTGTTATTAAAAGTCAAACTATGCAATATAATGTCACTTTGACTGGAACTTTACTAGCGTGTGACGTCATTTTAGTCTTGGCCAACTTCCACTTATGCCATCGAGCTCCCCCTATACCCCTCCGCCCATGTATATTTCGTGTTTTTCACATACATTTGAACACAATCGTTTGTCTATTAGGTTGCACAAAGTCCGTCAGCTCCTCGTAAACCAATCGCTGCCGGACGAAGCCAGGCTTTCGGGTCAAGGCAGTACTCCGGGCGCAGATCACCTTAATTACGAGTACTATCAACACCGGCACACTAGCGACCAGCCCGAGCTCATGTCGCTGCTGCGCAACTGGGCAGATGTGGTGGACAGTACCGGCGACGGTGAGGACCATATCCATACTAATATACTTCAGTACCCTTAGTACGAGTTTGAGCTCACGAAAACGATAGTTTTCGTTATTGTCGATTATGTTTCTATTTCCATTTTGGTGAAAAGTAACCAAATATACTTAAAATTTAAGAAGACACAAATGATGTAATGATAGAATTTAAACACTGTTTATTTGTATTAAAACGAAAACAGTAAAATCAGTACCCATAGTACGAGTGCGAGCTCACGAAAGCTATCGTAGTTTTCGTAATTGTAAAACTCGTACTAAGGGTACAGGACACATATATCGGCCCATCCAGCATTTTAAATATTGTCAGGTTACATTGAGCAAAAAGTTTTTACATAGTTTTGAAGCCGAATATAAAACCATGTTTCTTGTGTGTTGCTAAGAATATTATTAATGCTCAACCTAACATATATTTTTGCTACAGTCAGTTGAAATTTGTAACACTTTGTAAGGCTGATAGATCTCTAAAGAAATACTCGTGTCATAGCGTTTGTAACTAAATTCCTTCGTGACGTAACCGACCCCTTTTTTATGACGGTTCCTACCGTCGCTGTTCGCTGGGTCAGCTTGTCCTTATGACCGAATGCTATCATAATCCGCTTCTATAAATCAAGTCACTCACGCCGCACGATGGCGTGACAGTGTATCATTTCAAATCCGTGTGGTCGGTAATACGTCGCCGTATAGTCGTATCTTTTCCTCGCGGTCCGTACCTGCTATATTGCTAACAGCGCATTCAGAATTCCGCGGAGAGAAATAAAAATAAGCTCTATATTCTTCCGCATATACCAATAAGTGGTAAAATTTTACGAGCTTGCATTTCGCACTGTCATAAGTCTTCGACGCAATCGTTTTAAGGTGTATTCCGAAATATAAACCAGTACGCTGGCCAGTGGTAATGACGTCATGATTTCGACGCCATATTGCACTGGTGTAGTAGTAGTGTTGTCAATATGGCGTCGAAATCATGACGTCATTACCACTGGCCAGCGTACTGGTGTTTGATTCGGAATACACCCTTAATAAAGACCTTATACATTAAAGGTGACATTCAATGTTTAAATAATGCCTTATATTGTTTTTGACCACGCGATCATCTTACTAGCTCCGTGGATCATCCAGTGCCCCTTTTGGACACGTTTCAGCCACGATTTTGTTCGTGTTGAATGAATGAATGATCACTTTATTGTACACCATGAAATTTTAAATCACAATTAATTTAAATGTCCCGTTAGTTAATCCAATTCCTTCCATGCCCTTCTGCCCAACCGGCTATTTATTTAGTTCTCATTCCATCTTGACAATCCTCTTAACTAATAAAAATTTTCAATATTTTCTGCGCAGGTGAAACAGAAACAGTATTCACTGTAGCGGAAGAGGGAGACAAACCGGAATTGTTCCTATTCCGCGACGTGACGTGGCTTCGGCCGCAAGCGAGTTCTTCCCTACGTCTCCGTTCCGGTGGCAATCTGTCAGCATGGCTAGCTCACGCCGAGCCTCGTTTACAACACTGGCCTGCCTTACAGGTATTCCGTTCTACTAATTAACATGAAATTATTATTACATCGCCATACATTTCGTTCATTTCGACGCGACATGCGCTAACTTCACAGTCTCCATCGAGTTTTGTATTGCACCACAAGCAACCTGAACGAAATACAGGCAGTCCTCGACTTACGTCGTTTAGGCGGCAGACGGGACTCGAACCCGCACCTTTCGTTATATGGGCGAATGCCTTTATGCTACCGCGGCCCTGACGGCCGTGTCGCATTTTCTCTAGCCTTAGGCTGCAAGACAGCGCCATCTCTTCGCATTGTAGGTAACCCACAATGTCAAATGAATACCTTTACAGGTATTAAACATTTGAAAGAAGAAATAGCAATTACAGTTTTCTAGTAAACTTTTCTTTAGATTTAAACATCTAGCAGTTAAATGCTTAAAAAATAAAAACATAAGTAACATTCTTTTTCATATCTTCGATGTTTACTACCCATATGTTTCGTTAGGATATTTGTGCAGCTCGTTTTGTTTATGCCCATCCAGTTGACGAGTGACTCGGAGTCAGCGGACTCTGAATTAGCCGAGTTGGCACTATTGCTGCCCGCCACGCCTGTCCTCAGCATCTCACAGCTTCCGGCGCAACTCAACAATACGGTTAGTACAAGCTATTTTGATAGTACCTTCGGAAGGCACGTTAAGCCGTTGGTCCCGGCTGCATCTGCAGTCGTTAGCATCCGTCAATCCGCACTGGGTCCGCGTGGTGGGTCATGGCCCAATTTCCCCATTCTATCCATAGGGAAGGCCTGTGCTCCAGCAGTGGGGACATTAATAGGCTGTTGATAATGATGATGATGATGTAGTACAATTTCATAAGGAACCTTTTAAAAAGTTATTGAGGAATTAGAACAATTTGTGAATAAATACTTGCTTGCAATACTATACTTGTTGCTTGGCTATTTGTGTTTGATATTGTAAACTTTTCATCAGGGTTTCTTTTTCATTCCATATACAACATGATAAGGACAGACTGTTGTCAGGTTTACAAATAGCTAATACGAATAGCCAAGTGAAGTGCCCACATAATGTTTTAAGTGTTTATTTGGATAGATGGATTTTGTTGGCTATGTATGTTGAATGTCAGTATTTTTTTAAATTATTCCCGCTCATCATCATCATATGTCGTCACTACTACGACAGATGAGGTTTTCTCTATAGATGGAATAAGGAGATTGGGTCATGACACACTATGCGAGGTAAGGATTGTATATGTGCTGACGACTGTAGATGCAGCCTGAACCAACGGCTCAAAATACCTTACTTATCACTGGGAAATAATTTAATACTTAATGCCGGAAAATCAATCATCTGAATATGAGAAAATATTCTTCTACCTTCTTTAAAATCTACCTTCTAAATCTACCTTCCTTATCACTGGGAAGCCAATCCTCTGAATATGAGAAAAACTATTTTGTTCGGCAGAGTGGGGGATTATCCCAGCTGATTTCCTTGCGCGAAGACGCGAGTATTGAACACGGAAGTCACAATCTGTCTACCGTGCCTGTGAGGGGATCTGACAAGCGACTTTTAGCTTGCGCCAGGTATGTCATAAGAGATCATGTTCATATTATATTCTATCGTACTCTAACATTTATGAGGTCAAAAATTTTTTTATAATTAGATAAAAATCCATTCGGTCCAGAGGCCCAAACACGAACTTTGATAGCTTCGTAATCGTATCGTCATCCTCAAAATTTGTGTGCAAGTAGCCAGTTTCTTCCTACGTCTGGTAGGGTGCTACTTAGTTTTCATAGATACTTTGCCGATGCGATACGATTACGAAAGGCGCTGGTTCGAATCCTGTCTGATACTTTGACAGAGTGGATTTTTCTACTTAAAATTTTCTTTACATTTATAAATCTAGAAGTTTGATGCTTAGAATAACAATATAATAAGCTAACGTTATGTTTTTTGACCGAAACAGACTTTATAAACGCGACGCGCATTTTCTATAATCAGCGTATGCGCATCAAGTCGCTTCGGATGTTCCTAATGTGATTCTGATCGTAGAAAATAGTACTTTATGATATGAATTAACACGCGTCACGTGGCGTCGCGTTTCAAAAGCCTGATTCGGCCATTAGCTCTTAAGTCATTCATAGCTATAGCTATACTGCATAGGTTAAATTTTTCTTAGAGCATGATTAAGACTGTCATTGTGACAGCAGATGTCTTAATCATGCTTTAAGCCTCTCTCCATAACTGCGTTATTATCGGTCGATAATGCGCGATATTTCGTTATATTTCTATTGCATCTTCATTATCGCAGCAGAGTTAACTTATCCTGTTTGCTGATCAGATGGAAGCCTGGCAAAACGGGCTACTAAGCGATATACAATATAGGTCTTTATTTATCACACAATCGTTTACAAAAAAAGAGTGTGCTTATGACCACACGACTGAAGTGAAACTTCTTTAGCTCCATCTGTATCATATGTGTGTGTACAATACATACATGTACATATTTATTATATATTATGTATTATACATATTTCATTTACTAGCTTTAAGAAAAAGAGAGAAAGAAAATGTGAGCGCAATGCTTTCCCTTGCTTATATCCCCCATTCAACTCCTGTTCTCCTCGCCCGATCACACTTTTCGTAACGCGTTCGCCAGCTTACTCCCCAAGTCAAGCGTGCGTAAAAAAGTTTCACTTCAAAAAATTACCCTATCCCGTTTTCTGATCAGATGGAAACCTGGAAAAACGGGCTACCTGGCGATATACAACCCTTGGTCCGAAGAGCACCGCGCCAATGTGACGCGGCTGCCCTCTGTGCCCGGCGACCTCACCGTGCACCACGTGTCGCACGCCGTCAGGGAGAATACCAAGTGAGAGTCTTTGCACCCCAGCTATATTAGTTGTGGCTAGGGTAACCATTTAAGAATTTCAAAAGTCCTGACAAAAATCCTGACTGACATTTCGAAAAAAGTCCGGACTTTTTAGTCACAAAATGGTACCATTACTCACCTAGTTACAATGGTATGGTATTTAAATCAATATGTACTTTTATTATTCATATTCAATGTAATTAAAAAAATCCGAAAAATTTTAATTTTTTTGGTCTAAAAGTCCGAACTAATCCGGATGGATGGTAACCCTAGTTGTGGCTAACATCCAAGCCCGGATAAACTTGGCGACATTCAATAATTGGTCAGAACATCACTGCACTATAGTGCCGCGGTCGCCCTCTGTGCCCGTCGATGTCACCGTGCACCACGTGTCGCACGCCGTTAGGGAGTATACCAATTCATCATCAGCCTATTATTGTCCTCATTGCTGGGGCAGGAATAAGGTTGGAACAGGAAGATTGGGAAATGATCCACCATGCGGGCCCAGTGCGGTGTATTGGTGGGTATGACTACAGATGCTCCCGGTATCGGCTTTTCGTACCGTCCGAAGCATGGAGGAGCTCTAAATGTAAATTTTTGGTCACCCTTCCAATGACCGACCACTGCGAAAGTTGCTTAACTTCAACGATCGCAGCTGAACTCGCTAACCACTTCGCCATCGAGCTCTTCGATCGAGTGAGTACATTAGACGGGCGTATTAACTCTGGGAAGAGGATCTCGATGGCGCAGGTGGTTATCGTGTTCGACCTGCGATCATAGAAGTTGCAACTTTTGCAATGGCTGTTCATCGGATGGGTACCAAAAACTTTATATCACGAGCTCCTCTGTGCTTCGAACGGCACATTAAACCGTTGGTCCCGGCTGCATCTGCAGGCATTGGGACTGCGCGGTTAATTTTGGCTAATTTCCCTATGGCATCCATAGGGAAGGCATGTACCCAACTTTTGGGACATTAATGGGCTGACATATAATAAAATGGTAGGAAAGTCAAAAATAGTTTTTAGAATTTTCGTTTGTCTGTATGTATGTCCGGGCTATACTCAAAAAGTATGGATTTACTTCAAATTTGGCACGAATATTATTAAGAAGTTGAGTCAACTTATAGGCTACATATTATAACGCTATCACCTACGGGGAACGAGCACTGAACACTTTTGGGGTCAAAAAGTAGGTAAGGCCGCTAGTTGTTGATAATTTACTTTAGGGGCAAAAGGCCTCAAGGCAGTAGCTGCAAAAACGGTGCCTTACGCAGATTTTTGCAGGAAATCAAAAAGCCAATAAAACTCATAGCAACAAATATATCTGTAAAAAAAGGACAATGGGCAAAACACTATGGGAGTTGGGCCTGCTGACCAATACACATGAGATATTGTTCTTGCGATAGGTCATAACACACAACTGACGAGAAAAATAGTTAAAAAAATTAAATGCACCGGGTTGTTGTACAGTCACGTCGAAAAGTTTTATTTATTTAAGTTAAATATTTTGCAGTTAATAATTGTTTTTCAATACGAATGAAGGAATATTACCCTAAAAGAGCACTGGAGCCACTCCCAAATGCTGTTGATTGCAATATTTGCAATTTAAAACGCCTCTTACGACATCCATCGACAACTGCGTATAATATACAATAAAAAGCGTATGTAACAAGCTTGCTTGCAAAACATGATTTTGTCTACGTCTATGAACAGAACGTGGACACAGAACACACAAACGTTCTTCCTGCATTTTTAAGAACAGAATTTAAGTCCGTAAAGGTAGCCAAAGTCAGTTCATGTAAGAATATCACCAGAGTCAAAAAACCAGCAGGGTCGTCGTAATAGAAATACGTTAAAAGTAAGAATAATAGGAGCACTGCACTGTCAGAAGCGGATAATACCGACTGACCACTGAATAAAACAGTCGAACGAAACGATTTACTTACCTGCTATGCGCGGGCGCTTGTCCAAGGTCAACGGTTTTCTCTCTCTTTCATGCGCCCCGTTAGCATTCGCGTGTTATCTTGCTTGAGGACTAATCGCACACAATGCCAATATAATAAGCAACGGTCTGCAATTCACTCTCGCATAGGTACATAGAACTTTTATTACGTCCTCTAATAGTCGAAATACACTTATTATTATTTTTGTAACAGGTATATTGTGTTATTATGATCCTATGTGGTTAGAATTAGTGACTTTAGTCATTATTTTAAAGTAATATTCTTTCACTCCTATTGAAAAACATTTAATAATTGAAAAATATTTGACATAATTAAATAAAACTTTTCGACGTGACTGTACAAGAACCCGGAACATTTAATTTTTTTTATTATTTTTCTCGTTAGTTGTGTGTTATGACCTATCACAAAAATAATATCTCATGTGTATTGGTCATTAGGCCCAATTTGACCATTGTCCTTTTTGGCAGTTTAATTTTCAAAATATTATTTTTCTCGTTTCTCCAGCTACACAACCAACTACAGAGTGTCGAGCGACAACATCCTAGTGCCAGCTTACTCCAGCGTGGTGCTGGCCTACGTACCGAAGACGGCCGAGGAACAGTAAACTCTACCCTCACGCGTCGTCGACAACAAGCCTTCTAGAACAAACCGCTTGCGCCGCCCTGTATGCGCGGCGAGATATACGTTGCGTTTCATTTTTTACGTTTTACATCAGTAGAAAATATATATGTTTGAGCATTACTTGTTGTGTTTTATTAAGATTTTTGAACAAAATATGGAAGAAAACATCTTTATACACTTGGGACACATCTCTCGGCCCACCTAGCATTTTAAGTTTTGATGGTCCCTAGCTAAAAATGTTGCTGGGCAAAAAATTAACACCTACAGAGTTTTGAAGCTGATCTAAGAAAAGAGCCATCTTTTCGTGTTTTAAAATTATTCTTTTAAATTATTCCTCAATCATAAACTTCTATTTTTGCTACCTTTAATGAAATATTTGGTACCTCTCTCGTTCAAGATACAGGGTTTAAAGAATCCTTTGATGAAGTCGATGGTCACGTATTTTCACATCATGACATTTTTTTTTTCTTCTGGACCATACCCGGGAAATTTGTGGTTATGAAGATATTGAAGGTAAGTCACGTTTTTTTTCAAGATTTTTACATTAATATTTTCAAAACTTTATTTAGACTGTTTAATCAAACACGCCTACGCCTATATACACAAAGGCACATTCCTTGCGTAGCGCCACAGTAGCGCGGCGCGCTGTACATTGCGTACTGGTCTTTTTTTTTAATTTTTTTGACTTATAAATGCAAATGAATCCCACTTCTAATATTTTTTTTATACAGAATGCGTAGTTTTAGTCTTTGTCATATGATTTTTTACACCTGTATAATGAAGTAAATAGCGCCGGCGCCCTCCGTGGTGCTGGCCTGCGTACCGAAGACGGCCGAGGAACAGTAAACTAACGCGTCGTAGACTAGACAGTAAACTCTACCCTCACGCGTCGTCGACAACAAGCCTTCTGGAACAAACCGCTTGCGACTCCTTGTATACGCGGCGCGATATGTTGCATTTCATTTTTTACGTTAAAATATATATGTTTAAGCATTACTTCTTGTGTTTTACTAGGATATTTTACATTTAAATATTTATGCTGTAGAAAGATGAACTGTAAGGTAAGATGATTTCATATTTACGATCTTAACTGTCGTGCTATATGTATTTCCACAGGGCTATATGTATTTCTCACTTCGTGGTATTTCCGACAGTGTTCTCATTACATGGTAACAAATCAAAAATGAGTATAATCTGAATGGACATCAAATATTTAGCTTTGTTGTCGATTTCAAAAAAGGTGTGAGGGAGTGAAATAATACGCTAAAACTAGAAAATAGTACAATTTAATAATATCTGCAATAGTTAATAACATTTAAAAAGCATAATTTGTCATTTGTACAAACATTTATTATGGTCTTATAATCTTTCGTCTTAGTTTATTAGGGTCCCAACATTATGGCATAATTAGTTATGTTAATCGATGACTATCTAAAAACTTCTCGCTTGTCTCACAAACATTATTCGCTTGGGGAAAAATGTACGTTCCGTCGGTAACAGCACGTGTAGTCATGAACAAATGTGATGGCCGCCCAAATAGCGTAATACACAACTGTGGCTAAACACATACGAAGTAAAAAGTCGCCCAAAGTGAAGGTACACTTAGCCTGAGAGGGCCTTGCCACTGCCTCCATTGTTAATCAGGGGTATTAGGACTAATTATATCATAGAACAACTTGACCAAATAGAAAAGGACGTAAGTGAATAAGATTTGCATCAACGAATCGACGAACCAGGAGGACGATACTCGAGTATCTTTTGCGCTGAGATCGTCCGACATTTTAGGAACTAAACAAAGACAATGGTTACTCTGAGAACATCGGAACTTAATATATAATTATAACGACTAAATTAGTAACGCTAACAGCCAAAGATCACTTGCTTAAAGAAATTTTTAAAATGTTTGTAATATCAACTATCAATTTGTCAATCGAGAACAGTAGAATTTGTTATCCGGTTAAGATTAAAGTTTTGCCAGGGAAAACTATTACAGAATCGCCAGTAGTGGTTATTACAAAATTGCCAGCGGTAATAAGAACAGTATAATCTGTGTTAAGCGGTAAAGATTATAATGTTGCCAGGGGGATTATAACAGTATCGCCAGTAGTGATTATTAAAATGTTGCCAGTGGCAATTATTGAGTTGACATAAAGGGGCGACAAGTGAGATCGCTTGGTGTTTGGTTACCGCTTCCTAGCGTTGGGTTTGGGCTTGTTGAACTGGTAGCTGGAGCACTTGGGGATGTGCCGTTCGGCCGCTGATTGGTTGAAGCGGCGGCTGCAGTGCGGACACTGCACGTAGTCAGGGTTCTCCGATGGAGGCGGTGGCGGTAGATCGCTCAACTTGCCTGCATAAAAAATGGCATTTTTAGTCTTCCACTTCAACTTTCTTTATGATAGCAACAGAATAAGGCAACACGTAATATTAAATAACATTTTATCGTATAGATGTTTTTGAGTTCGGTTGTCAAGTGCTGAATAGTTATAACGCGTATGGTTCATGTCATTAAAGAAAGGGATCGATAATGCCCTCGCAAGACATTCTGTCTCTCTCGCATGTTAGTATGTCTTTTGGTGTCATAGTACAGTCAATCTGTCGAAAAAAATATCGTTTGAGTGAAAAAAATACGTAAAGGGTAAGCCTTGTTTTTCCTGTTGCCAAATGACGTCAGTAAGCCACCTTGGCGATGGGCATGTTCAACTCGTAGGCGTTTTTTGAAAAACTCAAAAAAACCGTCAAAAATTTTTTGAAACGCATTTTTCTTGTTTTGTATGCATTTTAGAAACTTTTTTTTCGACCATAATTGTAGAGGGCGTGGAGTGCTACAATTTATGTCATTGTTGCAATCTCGTACAACAAAAAATGCGCATTGTAGGTGGCGCTAAAGTCTCAAAAAAGTTTTTTTTCACTTATTCACCCTGAAAATATCATTTTAATGGAAAACTTTAAATGGCAAAGTTGTTTCGTACATAATTACCAACAACTTTTGTATAAACAATTTTTTTGTATTACTTACCGTTTTCAAGTTATAAACTGCGCAAATATGAAAAATCCAATAGAGCGGTTTCGGGCAGTTCACGTACACATTTGCAGTGCACATTTCAATGTACGTTTTTACTAGTTTTTTTTCAATCATGAAAAAAAATAAAAAATAGTAAAACGTACATTGAAATGTGCACTGCAAATGTGTACGTGAACTGCCCAAAACCGCTCTATTGGATTTTTCATACCTGCGCAATTTATAACTTGAAAACGGTAAGTAATACAAAAAAAATGTATATACAAAATTTGTTGGTAATTATGTATGAAACAACTTTGCCATTTAAAGTTTTCCATTAAAATGATATTTTCAGGGAGAAAAAGTGAAAAAACCCTTTTTTTGAGACTTTAGCGCCACGAGATTGCAACAATGACATAAATTGTAGTACGCCCTCTACAATTATGGTAAAAAAAAAAGTTTCTAAAATGCATACAAAACCAGAAAAATGCGTTTCAAAAAATTTTTGACGGTTTTTTTGAGTTTTTCAAAAAACGCCTACGAGTTGAACATGCCCATCGCCAAGGTGGCTTACTGACATCATTTGGCAACAGAAAAAACAAGACTTACCCTTTAGGTTTTTTTTTCACCACTCAACCTACAGATTGACTGTACTATCATTCTTGATTTTTTAATGATTCGTGTTATATCAGTGATATAAATAGGGTGACCCGCTTGATTGCATAGCCTATTGATGCTGTCATTGCATCCCCTTAAACCCCTCCCTGAACCCCCCAGTCCCCTATTCCGTGGAGCTAAATACGCCCAGCAATAGCTGCCTAACCTAACCTAAACTTTATTGCATAGAAAACAGAGCAGTATTCGCAGTCCAAGTGTGTTAAATATCATGATAAGGCCCTGACTGCAACCTGCCCCGTTCAGTAAGAAACTTGCAAAACGCAAACAAACGAATATGAACTAGCTGATTATGAAAGTATGCTATGAATTAAATCTTGAACTAAAATTTTCAATCTCACTACTTGGATTCATTTACAGACAGTTTCAATAAAATCAATCAAAAGTAAGAGATAGGCTAATTAGAGCTTAGTTACCTAGATATTTTAATTATTATATAATAACCATTCTTACTAAGAAAAACAAGTAGAATCAGCATACCTTTTACTGGAGATTGATTTATTGAAACTGGTGCCCATAAAGTTTGATGATGAATCGTTGGCGCCCAACGTGTTGCGTCTCTGAAGATATAAAAACGGTAGGTAGGTACTAACCGCCCGCGTTGAGATGCGCCTGCACCTGCTTGGCGGCGCGTATCGCTTGTATGAACTCCTCGTGCTTCTGCCGCCAGTTGTTGTTGCCGACTGGCTTCGTGCTCGCCACCTTGTTGCTTGAAGGGTTGGCGCCCGTCTTGCGCAGTTTGTTGATGAACGGTTCCGCTTCCGTACCCTACACACGTTGGTAAATGATTAGTAATCTGTCACTAAACAAGTATTTCAGTTTTGAATGTCGGCGTGCGTAGACGTAAACGTTATTTTTCCGTTGTGTTTGGTGTTCTTGTAGTAGGCACCATTTAGACAGTACCGATTAGTCGCGATTGGTAGGTTAAATGACTCAAAACTGCCTGTTCAAAAAAACTGTATAAGGCTACTACAAAGATTAAGTGTGAGATGTTGAAATAATTTGAGCTTAAATTTTATGACTAATACAGCTACAGGTAACATAAATCGATAAGATGACGTTTACGTAAACGCAATCTCTTAACAAGCATTGCACATTTTTTGTCGTAGTTGTGCGGAATGGATTCTATTGATAGCTTTATTCAATAGTATGCATAAAAACGACCTTAGAACTTTATGTTTGAAGTATGTATGAGAATTCTTTAATGTTTTTGTAGGTAGGTAAGTATTTCGTGAAGATAGCGAATGTCACAAATATACAGTCTCGCTCTTCCATATTCATGCAAATGATAGATGTAGGCGATAAGATATTTTCTTTAGTAAAACTTTAAGCCAATTGCACCAGTCCACTTCATGTTGGGTTTTAAATGGAGTTCAAATGATAGTTGCTGCTACGTAATGTATAAAATGAGCATGTGATGCATTTTCATTTCATAGACATGTTATGGATTGAAAGATTTTAAAGCAATGACATACTTATAGTTTCCCTGATGATTATTTGAGAACTTTTTGCTTATAAATAATTATTTGTGAAGAAAAAAGGAATGATAATAAAATATTAAAAGAATTGTTTGTAATTTTGTCTGTATCTACCATTAAAATTTTTACCTGTTTATTTCTTGTTGAATGTTTCTTCGGATGTACGATTTAAAAGAATTTTAATTGTTTATTCAAGACAATAAATTATGGGATTTTTGTATGCTGTGTGGACTGTAAATTGACCATATTTGACCACCGTAATTGGACGAATCCTTGCAAGATTCGTTAAACTTAAAATAAATTTGACAATAATACATATCTTTATTCATTCATGTCTGAAGAATGATAAGGATATAATGTTATCAAATTTAATTTAAAGTTTTAAGAATCTTGCCATAATACGGCTCAATGCCTCAATTTTTAATATACTTACAATTAGTGATAATGCCCGTCCCACTGGGAATATGTTTATGTTATTCAAGGAACATGCAGCTTAAATACAAGATTCGTGCAGGAAACAAAATTTGAAACAGTGCGTTTAAGAGTTTTTTTACAAGAGGATAGTAAATCAGGGTAATCAATGACTGCTTGCCTTAATACTTGAAGCGTCCGTACCCTGTGTGTAGAAAAGGAGTTTTATTTGGTGTCAATAAATAATTGTCATTATCAAACCTACCTTGGGTGCAAATTATTTTAATAAATAATTCTTGCAAGTATATTTGGTATTTTGTATATTGACGAAACTTTAAGATGGGCTGCATATTCGATACTACTTAACTTTAAACTAATCGCACTCGGCCGAATAACTCAGTTCAAATGGCCAGTTATTATAATGTAATAGACAAATGTAATGCCATTGGTAGGTACTACGTATAAACATGAGTTTAACGGTAAAAAGTGGGATGATAGGCCCAATTCTTGCATGATTTCATAAACTTTATTAGGAGCTCCTTGGACCGAGAAATAGACCAAGTATCCACCTAACATATTGCGTGAAAATTAAACAGGACAAACAAATCATAGCTATTTATTTATATACAATAAAACTTGATTGTATAGGTATCTCTATCTATTTTTGGCCAGTATTGAAAATGAGATATCAAAATGCATAACCTATGTTTTATTTAGATGTTATAACTTATTGAAGCAATCAATGCTGTACTAATTTTAAAACAGAAATAAGTTTATAAACACAGTGGTGTCGATTCTGCCGTGATTCTCTAAACTTAAAACTAAATTTAACATCAGTCTCTCCTTTTCATTCTGTATAGAGGATGACAGGGATGCACTGTTGTCAAATTTAAGTTTAGCTTTAGAGAATCACGCCAGAATCCACATCACTGTAGCATGTGGTAAGTTCCAGCAAAGTCTACCTACTTCACACGTCATGCTGTTTACTAAATACCTATACCTACTATGATAAATAACAAATTTTTAGCACAATTTTAGTCAAAGCTCAATCAAAAGGTGCTTACTGCCAGCCGATGTTTCAGAGCGTCGAAGGGCTTCCGTTTCTTGGCGTGCGCCTTCTTGCAGATCTCCTGGTGCTTGGGGAGCCGGTCCGGCGCGAATCGGCGCCCGCACACGGTGCACGGCGTGCCGGACCCGCCGGACCCGCCGGACACGGCGCCGGATCCCGGTGAGCTTGAGGACAACGCGCTAGAACGACTCTTCACGCCCGTAGGACTCTGTGATAATATACAGATCCGATTAAAATTAAAAAAAATGGAGGGATTGGACTAAACAGACGCGGCAGACGTCACATTGCACCGGCTTTTTGTTTTTAAAATCGTCGCGGTGGACGAACGATTACGTCATCTTGATCTCGGTTCAAAACAAGACAAACGGCCTCAGGGCAGCGTTGTCAGATTTGCCGATTACGACGGCACTTCCCGATTGTATATTCAAGATTGAGTAACCCGCCGCGGACAGGACAAGTAGACTGATTTTCAAAGATGACTACTTCGCCATGTGAAAGAAATCTCACTCAAAAGGTTTCAAAATTCCGTCTTATAAAAAATATGACAACACTGCTTTGGGATGCGCTGTAGGTACCTGTGCCATATATATACTCGTAGAGACAATTCGCTCCTCTTAACATATAATAAGTTTTGTGTAGTTATGTTTTTTTTCTAATTTCAAAGTGCTTTTCATTTCTATTAGTTTATTATCTCGGGATATCCCATTGCGGAAGTTAAGCAACTTTTGACAGCTCCCGGTGCTTCGGAAGTCACGTTAAACCGTTGGCCCCGGCTGCATCTGCAATCGTTAGCATGCTGGGTGCACTCACTAATCCGCATCGGGCTTACGTTTTGTTTGACCCGTAGGAAAGGCTTGTGCCCCAGCATTGGGGACATTATTAGGCTGACGAATTGATGAAATAGCTAATATCTATATGTATTGATAATCTAGGTAGTTTTAATAGTGATTAGAAAACAAATTACTGCACTTACCGATGCCAGTCGCTTAGGTACCTGTTTATGAGAGACAATGGATTGTTATTAAAGTCAGAAAATATGGCGATCATTCCTTATCAACCTAATGGTTACTTAATTTATTTTTCATTTCATATTTTTTCTTTATTTGTAAAACAACAAACAGACACATATTTGCACACTAAAATCTGACCTTACAGAGAACATAGTTATATACTATGTTTGAAACCTACTCTACCATGAGGTTTGTGAATTTAGTCACCTCCCCCCCTTGGCGACGCCTTTGCGTAGTACCTACTTACCCCTCGTTTACATCAATGTATAAATACATGTATTTGACAAGTTTTATACAATGTCTTCATTTTTTGTTGACCCTTATACATGTTTAAAACATGTAGTATACATTATACAATACTTCTATCAACAAAGTTGTTGGAGAAACAAAATATGTGAAGTAAATGAGTGATCAATACTTGTCAAGATATAAGTTATCTATGCAGTGTAAACGAAAAAAAGTTTTAAACAACCACAACAAGTATTTTACAAGTTTTGTATAAAACTAGTTTATGACTTGTTTCTTGTTGTAAACGAGGGGTTAGAAGTCATTGCCCAATATCCATTTATCTACTTGCAACTACTATGAGTCAATCGCCTAACGGGTTTGCTATCGCTTGCGATTTTATTTGGTTATTTCAGCCCGCTGAACGTTTTCAAATGCCTCACGCTCATTTTCTTTAATATTTTCATTACCAATGCAAAAAAAAGCTATAGTGATAGCCATAGCAATCCCCTTAGGCAATTTCCCCTGGAGTGCCAATACTACGACTTACCGCGTTCGCAGTTCGCTGCATCGCCCCACGGGCTTTACTGCTGTCCGGGACCTGAGTTAATGCACATTGTTAGTAGGTTCTCACTGACACACTCTATACTAGGAAATTTTAAAACCAAACCAAAAAAATACGATTTAAATTTGATGCAGTATGAAACTAGACATTTTATCGTCACATTGACAGATGGCAAGTCTCATTAAAAGCTGTCAGTTGACTGGATTTTCGAATTTAGAATTTGAAGACTCGAGTGAACAGTGTGTAAATAGTTTCTATACAGTAACGAACATTGTTCAGTTCAGTCAGTATCGTTGTGTTGAAAGATCAAGTTTTTAAAACGGGCGTTTCCTTGTAATATCCACCAGGGCAAATGGTAACAGGCAGGCGCGGTCGCAGCCTGAAATTTTGGAGGGGTTCACTCACTACACTAATAAAAAGAAGAAAAAAAGGTATCTGGAATAAAATAAACATTATTGCGACGAACGACGCATGTCGACTTTGCTAGAATTACCAAAACTACGTAGTTCGGTTCCATGTTTCTAAACAACATTTCCACTAGATGTCAGCAAACTATAAATTTATCGCTGTTATGGGATAGCTAGAAATTTCCTTTTATTATTTGGCAAATTTTTGAGATTTTTTAATTTGACCTTAGATTGGGGGGGGGGGGGGTCATGTCCCCTGTGACCCCCCCCCCTCTTCGGTAACAGGTGGAATAAATTCAGGACATGATGAAACCAATTTTAAAAGGAAAGAACACATTAAAAAAGTGGAAGAATTATATACGGGTGATTTGGGGTCAGGAATGGGGGTAGACCTTTTAAGGGGGAATGAACATAGTCTGTACTTACGGAATTGTCACTAGTAGTTCTTCTGGGTGGCGCGGCAGGTGTGGTCTGAGGTTTCGCACGAGTAGGACTAGTTCGTGGTGCGGGAGCTCTGCCAAACAACAATACAAACATGGAATTTTCTAAAGAAAGAATATGGATCCAACATTCACGGCCGCACTCAGAGAACACAATTAACTTTTAGATCAAGCGCACATTGAGCCACTAATCGCGGCATTAATTTATGATAACAAAATAATAACTACTCCTGGCTATAATAAAGCAATAAATTAATTTGACGTTTCTGAGGAGTTATTGGCTGCTCCAGGGGTTTTAACATTACTCGTTGTTGTTGTTGTTCACACTAGCTGTCCATACAGATATAGTTGTATTACCTTTTCCTACCAGATAGTATCCGCTGGGTCTAGCTGTTCCATATATATGTAAGGTTAGGTTCTGGGCGGCTTTTTGGGCTCGGGATCCAGTACCTTGGGAAAGGTCTCGTTACCTACCAGATAGCATCCACTGGGTCTAGCTGTTGCATACAGTTGTAAGGTTACCTTCTGGGCGGCTTCTTGGGCTGGCGCTCCGGTAACGGGCTCCAGCACCTCGGGGAAGGTCTAGTTACCTACCAGATAGCATCTGCTGGGTCTAGCTGTTTCATACTGTTTTAACTTACCTTCTGGGCGGCTTCTTGAGCTCAGGCTCCAGTGCTTCGGGGAACGTCTCTTTATTCATCAGATAGCATCCACTGGGTCTAGCTGTTGCATACAGTTATAAGGTTACCTTCTGGGCGGCTTCTTGGGCTCGGGCTTCGGTAACGGGCTCCAGCGCTTCGGGGAAGGTCTCGTTATCCATCAGATGGCATCCACTGGGTCTGGCTGTTTCATACTGTTTTAAATTACCTTCTGGGCGGCTTCTTGAGCTCGGGCTCCAGTGCTTCGGGGAACGTCTCTTTATCCATCAGATAGCATCCTAGGGTCTAGCTGTTCCATACAGTTGTAAGGTTTTCTCCTAGGCGGCTTCTTGGGATCGGGCTCCAGCGCTTCGGGGAAGGTCTGGTTATCCATCAGAAAGCATCCTAGGGTCTAGCTGTTCCATACAGTTGTAAGGTTACCTTCTGGGCGGCTTCTTGGGCTCGGGCTCCGGAAACGGGCTCCAGCTCCTCGGGAAAGGTCTCGTTACCTACCAGATAGCATCTGCTGGGTCTAGCTGTTGCATACTGTTTAAGTTACCTTCTGGGCGGCTTCTTGAGCTCGGGCTCCAGTGCTTCGGGGAACGTATCTTTATCCATCAGATAGCATCCTAGGGTCTAGCTGTTCCATACAGTTGTAAGGTTTTCTCCTAGGCGGCTTCTTGGGCTCGGGCTCCAGCGCTTCGGGGAAGGTCTGGTTATAAATCAGAAAGCATCCTAGGGTCTAGCTGTTCCATACAGTTGTAAGGTTATCTCCTGGGCGGCTTCTTGAGCTCGGGCTCCAGTGCTTTGGGGAATGTCTCTTTATCCATCAGATAGCATCCTAGGGTCTAGCTGTTACATACAGTTATAAGTTACCTTCTCGGCGGCTTCTTGGGCTCGGGCTCCAGCGCTTCGGGGAAGGTCTGGTTATCCATCAGAAAGCATCCTAGGCTCTAGCTTTTCCATACAGTTGTAAGGTTACCTTCTCGGCGGCTTCTTGGGCTCGGGCTCCAGCGCTTCGGGGAAGGTCTGGTTATCCATCAGAAAGCATCCTAGGGTCGAGCTGTTCCATACAGTTGTAAGGTTACCTTCTGGGCGGCTTCTTGGGCTCGGGCTCCGGTGACCGAGGCGTGGGCGCGGGCTCCAGCGCAACGGGGAAGGTCTCGTTCTCCAGCAAGTAATTGTTGTCCGCTCGGTCGAGCTCGTCGATGCGAGATATCACTTCGCCGTTGCTTTTTGGCAGCTGGTAAGAAACGAACTAATGTACAGATTTAAAGTTAGGTTTGTTACTGGAGATAGGGTTGATTTCGTCTCGTAAACATTTTCTTTAAATATAAAAAAATTGCTGGATGCTAATTTATTGCTCATGTTTTTTCGTGCACACTACACTAATAATAATTTAATAAAACGATTTTTAAAGGGCATGCGATTGCTTGACCGTTGAATTATTCTTCATGTTTTGGGATCCTTTACAGGCCTTATGTTCGCAAGATATTTATAGAAGGATCATAGGATAGATAAATAAAACTGTATGATTAATACGAGCTCCTTTGTACTTCGGAATCAAGACATGTTAGGCTATTGATCCCGGCTGCACCTACAGTCGATTATCCCATCAATCTGAATACGGTTTACAGGGAAGGCCTGGGTAAGGAAGGACAGATGGTTGGTAATAAAGTGAAAATTTCCATGTAAAATTAGTGGAAACAACAATCAGCTTTTACATGATACTCACTTCTTTGTGATTTTTATTTGAATTGTTCAAATCCGGATCGTGGTTATGATTGAGATCTCCGGATCCGTTGACTAAATTTTCTATTTTCTGTAAAGAGATATACATTGTGATTTATTTAAGTATTTATATTGTCGTCCGGTTTAGCAGTACTAGTTTTAATTTCCCTTCTCTTTAAGGAGTTTTATTTTTAAGTAAGAATATAATTGAAACTCACATGGTGCTGTTTTTTGACTGTGTGCGAGTTCACATGCGTATTCTGTGTCCTGACAGACCTCTTCTCTGTAACCTTGGAAGCGGCGCTGGCGGTGACTTTAGTGTAGCCATTCGGTAGCGGTTTCCTGGCCCGCTCCGTGTTTTGGATAGGTTGTAAGGGGTAGCTTTTGTCGATGCCAGCTTTAGTGCGTCGCTCCTCGAACATTTGCCTCACCTGTTGATGGGTAAATTATTACGTACAGAACTTATCATTACATTTGCCCGCAGCTACTTTCCTTCATTGGTATAGTTTCCTTTAGCTCAACAATGCTTACCAGAGATTTTGTGTTAAATTCCTGTTTACATGTTTTTCTGTAAAAATATTGCTCTTATAAATTGCAATTATGCAATCAGATTTCATTTGGATTTCATTTATAGAGTCACTGAGTTTGGGGCGGCGAATAGGGTATTTGATAGTATTAAAAATAAAGTGTCAATTGTTAGCATCTGTGTTTAGAATGAATATTGGCAGGGGTTTTTACTATTTTTACAAAAAAAAAAACATAATTTTACTAAAAACCCACGAAAAAGATAATAGTTTTCTTATCTATTGTCACGTGATCCAAAACGCTTGGGATTGGCGGAGCCTAAAATGACGTCACACGTAAGTAAACTTTCGGTTAAAGTGACATTACATTGTATCGTTTGACGTTTTAATAACAGTCGTGTGACGTCACACGCTAGTAAGATTCCATATTGTCCAGAGAAAAGTTTTCGCGGCAACTTGAAAATGGAGTCTTTGACATGGTTATTTTTACTGAAATACACAACAGAATGATGAATATCCACTTTTTACGGACTCCATAAACATAAGTCAATAACGTGAGATCGTTTTTTAAAACTTGTCAAATACCCTATTTCCTAAGGGACCTCAAGTTGGGAAATGTTGAGTGGCTCTAGTGTTTTTCTAGATAGATGGTATCTCCTATCGGGAAGTTTCCGCTCCGCCTTAGACTTACTAGAATTAGGCTGCTCGGGTCTGAGGGGAACCCGTCAGTGTTGAGAGTGAGGCATATGCTCTACCCCAATCCACCATACACTCCACGTGATTACATTCATGGTAAGAAAAGGTTCGATCAAAGACTCGTGCCCTCTTATTAATAAACGAAGAATAAGCATGAATTACTTACTCCATATTTTGTCTGCGTTCATTAAATGACAATTGGCACTTGAGTGATATGAACAAAATACTGCGCAACTACTTAGTCTAAGCTTCGTTCATTGAATGACAATTGGCACTTTAGTGATATGAACAAAACACTGCGCAACTACTTAGTCTAAGCTTCGTTCATTGAATGACAATTGGCACTTGAGTGATATGAACAAAGCACTGCGCAACTACTTAGTCTAAGCTTCGTTCATTAAATGACAAATGACACTTGAGTGATATGAACAAAACACTGCGCAACTACTTAGTCTAAGCTTCGTTCATTGAATGACAATTGGCACTTGAGTGATATGAACAAAACACTGCGCAACTACTTAGTCTAAGCTTCGTTCATTGAATGACAATTGGCACTTGAGTGATATGAACAAAGCACTGCGCAACTACTTAGTCTAAGCTTCGTTCATTGAATGACAAATGGCACTTGAGTGATATGAACAAAACACTGCGCAACTACTTAGTCTAAGCTTCGTTCATTGAATGACAAATGGCACTTGAGTGATATGAACAAAACACTGCGCAACTACTTAGTCTAAGCTTATACCTCGTTTATTAATAAGGGGGTTAGGGACGCCTATTGTCGATGCTGTGCGCAACACCTACGACAGGATTTTAGTCGATTAGAGGAAAACCTTTTCGTTTAGCGGGTAGGCAGAGAAGAGTCCGACATAACCTGCAAGTTCACTTTCTCCAGTGAGCACCCGGTATGCGTAAGGCATTACTCAAGCACGCGCAAAACCAAGGTTTGATTAATGAAGCTCAGTTTTCCTCACTTACCTTGCCAGGGTGATGTGGTAACGGAGCCGTAGATATAGTCTGCTGCGGCGGCGATGTGGCGGTGCTGCTCGGCGAATGCCGTACGCGGTCCAATGCGCGCGCCTGCTGGGCTTCGTACAGGGAGGCGATCTTTAACTCGCGCTCTTGCATCTGTTTCTGTTGAAACCTTGCCTGGAAATTGAAAATTTTGAATTCTGAATCGTTTATTTATTAAAGACTGTTAGGAGAACTTATGAATGCCATTACGCGTCTCCCAAATCTACGGCGGAAGACCTTTATTAAGAAGAAGCGGTAAGAATTATAGGAAGGGCCGGTTTTTTCTCCCTGTATACCTATTATATGTTGAAAAATGATTAAACGCATAATGTTTCATAAAGTCACCTTGCATTTGGAAGTTTTAATATATAATATATCGTATCTATACTAATATTATTAAGCCGAAGAGTTTGTTTGAACGCCCTAATCTCAGGAACTACTGGTGCGATAGGAAAAAAATATTTTTGTGTTGGATACTGCATGTATCGAGAAAGGCTATTGGTTATTTAACATAACGGTATGACTAATAGGAGCGGAATACCAATAAAAAAAAATGCAAAAACGGGGATTGTATATTCCATTATTTGTGAGTTTTCGTTGCGTGCGCTGCGTAATCGGTAAAGTTATACAAAAATCATGTATGACGGAATTGTTCCTCCTTTAAAAGTTCCATGAGAATGTCTAAGACAGCATAAATGTCTTATCTTTTAGGGGGGACCCACTATAACTTTTTTCCTCAAATTAATATGGGGCAAACCAAAGAGCACCTTAACCCCTTTATTAAGAAACAAGGAATAAGCTTAGATTAGTTACGTCGTGATTTGTTCATGTCACTCTAATGCCATTTGTCATTCAATAGACAGAGACAAATCATAGAGTGACTAAGCCAAGCGTAGTCTTCGTTTATTAATAAGGGGGTAACTTACCCTTACTTAATCCAAAATACATTATTAGTGTAATAATTAGTAATAAACTAGGTTATGCCACACGCCTCTCCTTATTTTGATATTATTGATGTTCATATCTTAACTTTTGAATCCCCAAAACCCTCCCCCGGTCACGCCCATGGGGATAACTGTATAATATAAAGTGTCATTCTTCTCGAAACTAGCGGGTCAGATTTGGAAGAACCTTTGTATTGTAGTTAAGGCACCGCTACATAAATACCACAAAGGTGTCGATATTGGTTCTTGAACGAACTCGCATAGAAGTTTGCCCTGTCTTCTATGTCAGTATAATACTAACGATAAGACATCATTTTACCTATCTCAACATTGAAAATTTGACTCAAATAGGTCAAAATCTACAAAGAGTACAAATAAATTTCCTAAGAAACACGTACGGAGTATCTACTCTACCTATTTATAAGGTAATAACTTTCTTATCATCAATTTATTATTATAATACGCATTAGGTACTCAGAATTTGATTGGTATAGCGTGTGGGAATATTGAAATCAATAACGATTTCAAGTTCATTAAACTCTTTCCATCGATCGAAGTTTCAGGATTAAGGGTTTTTAGCTTCATTTTCATGGTATAATAGCATCACAATTACCTACTCTATATCGAAAAATATTTATTTTATGGCCGTATTAATTTGCTTAATGATTCCGATTAACTTTCAACTGCTTATTGGTGTTGAGAATATTTTTTTTAATTAGACAAAATTCAATTTGCTCCAGGAATCAGACTGGATTAATCAATACCGAAAGTGGTGATATCAATCTTGTAACACTTGAGACCCGAAGCTTTGGGATTGAAAATTAGGACCGTTTATTACTTAATTAAAATTGCTTTTGTGTGTAATCAAACGCTATAGGTATTGAAAATACTTAGGGTCACTTGCACCAACGTTCTTAAAAAGGATAGATAAGAAATCACGTTTAAAGCTTTGTTTGATTTTAAACCATCGACAAAGATGGAAACACGAATAAGCATTGATTTTGATTAAGAAATTTGTGTGCATAATTTTTGTACCCGTCATAATACTGTTCAAATCAATCTGCCATTTTTTGCGGGGGGCGGCACACAAACGCAGTTTAACGTACACGGATATAAAAAATACTGTAACTACGACCCTCACACTTAAACATGACACAATATATGTTCAAATCATGCACACACGTATCGTCTGTATGCCCAACCCCATATAGAGGAAAGCTGTGTATGCCTACACGCCTCCTGGCCGCGTCGGCCGTATTGCTCTATGCCATGTACCTATCTCTCATTCCAACTGTTTTTGAACGCTTGCTAACCTTTACTAGCGAGTAAATGTGGAATTGTGTAGTGTATTCTCAATAAGTTAGGTACTGGAAGGCGGGTCGTACGCCCACGCTTCACTGCTCATGAGACAACCTGTCAACTGAACGGATCAGTCTTTGGAGTCGTGCTTCCGACAAAATGTTGCAGACAAGGTCACGATGCGTTTAGATATCGATATAATACGGTCAATACAGATGCAGATGCACGTACATATCGTTTGATTGTATTAACTAATCAAGAAATTATCCAAATGATTTCTGACAGAATCTGTAGGTAGAATGACATAATATTATTAAGACCTTGGTCGGTCAGCGGTAAACATCATTTTTTGTTATTTATTGAGGGACATTAATCAGTAGCATATGTGCTCTATGACTTATTTTTTTTTCTTATCCTTTTTGTTTAGGAGCTTTTGACAAATTATTTAATAAAGAAGATGGGTAATTGGGTTCTGTAGGGAACATAGTTCAGAATAATTATAATAAGAACACTTAGGATGCTCAACTTCTTTTATTTTATACTGAGAGAATAACATGGTAGTCGTCCTATCCACCGAACGTTTTTGTGCCTGAAATCTCTGGAATGTTCGATCTGAGACAAAAGATTCGCATATTGAAATCTTTAAAATAATGACATTTACATTTACACAAACAAGGAGGCCGTAACGCATCGGGCGTTACAGTACCGTTAAAACCAAGGTAATATTGTAACTCACAACATTATCCACATGTTCATTAAAAATATATAGAGTACCTTGCTGTTGTTACATTCAGAAAGAAAAAGCTTAACATTGTGGGAAACCTAAAGGCCACTTGCGCATGAATAAAGAAATTGTCTAGTAAGTCCATGTTAATCAAGACTGGCCAGAGCATTCCTGGCGCCCTAGGTAAAGGCGTCTTTAACAAAGTTATTTATATATAAAGGTCCGAAAAATCGAATGAATCCACCCCACCTACACTGCGGGATATAGTACAGTAACTTACTTATCAACAATTGAAAATTTCTATTTTAAAAGAGGTTTTGCTTTATCACCATAGGATATTTAATCGCAACAGGAGCCAGTACCAAGTGCGAGGAGTTTAAAATGACTCAAACATCCCACTATATACATTGTTTCCTATGTGGCTACCAAAAACGGCTTTGCAGGTCGATTGATATGTCAGACGTTTGATTGATGTGTCAAGACTTCCTCTACATTAGGAGAAATAAGTACCTATCTATTGAATACTGTATAAAATGACTCTTTGTACTTGAATATCTTTATTACCGACTTAGTTTACCTGTCTTTGTTTATGTTGATCTTGTTAACGTACTTACGTAATAATACTGTCAAGTTCAAGAAAAATAACGTATGTAAATTATTATTATCTCAGAATGAGTATTTCATTAAAAATTAAATACCTTAGTACGGCTTTTTGCGTCCAGATATCCAAGTTCAATTGTAAGTATAGACAAATAGTATAAACTGGGTTGGTATCGTTGCTTTATCAGCTCTTCTATTGTACCAGCTATGTTAGTACCTGCACTCCACCTATTCCTAATGTGATGGCGGAATGTAGTACCTTTTTAGTTTCTCAGTTTGGTGATGATTTTTATTGTAAGTATAAATAAGTATTCATTCATCTATCTTAAGACTTGACCGGATATGAAATTTAATCGGCAGACCTAATTACAGTGAAGGAGTTAATAAAAAGATCTGGCAAATAATTCAGCATAGCTATTTAAAACCGTTAAAGCGTTTAGCGTTGTTTGACGGATCGTTAAACCCATTAGAAGCAAAAGAGGGATAACTGTTTCAGTCTAGTAAAGTCTGCATAAGAAAATATGTCAGGCAACCGGTACCGAGAGGTCGTCGATTCACATCCGGACTTTCAAAATTATCTTTGGTCAATTCAATGACATTACAAAAGTAGAGCAACTGACAATAAGTAATTATCCTCGTCAGCCAGCGTTGCAGTTGGAGTTGCTGCAACTTGTCCCACTAGCTGTATGCCGATTAGCAAATGTTACCTAACGGGTTTTTAATTTATGACCATTAGTGTTTGCGCACTTGCTTCGCTTGCGACAAATTGTGCATGAGTTCAGTCAGAGAGCATTTGATTCCTTATAAGTCCAAATTGCATTACTCTTTAGACAAGCCTATGGTGCAATTACCTTATTGGTTAGAAGTATCTTAATTCTTATTCAAGGAATCTCTAGCATGGTCCTAGGCAAAGATGCTTCTCACAGCATTGACACCGATCAAAATATCTGCAGCTTTTCAGATTTAGATCTAGCAACCTTCCTGTAACCTTTTTATAATATTAAAAAGTAGAGAATGTTTTAGATCACCAGTCATTACATCTCGAACGTAGCGCTAGCTTGTTATCAACATGCTAATCACCCACGTGCGCGTGAGATTTAAAGATTGACGGGAATATTCTTTGATGTAGTATTAGTTGGTAATGTTGTTCAATAACGTTTCGTTACACTATTGATAGGAGAGACTGACAAATCTTAATTATATAAACATAACAATTTCAACACAAGTTAATGAAATACCATAGAAAGTTTTGATGAAAATTATAATATGCAGGCGATATGACTGCCGCGCTTCGTTGAGCGTAAAGTGAAAGGAATACAATGTGACCAAACACGTAGTGATATAATTTATCCGCAATAGGTGCCGAGTGTGGGTGGCGGATAATATCGATCTGAGGCTAATATGCAAACGTGCCAAGGTCCGAGCTGGTTGACTCCTGCCCATTTGTGTGCAGTCTACAGGTGGCATTTAACTTTATCTGAGTTTATATAGGAAGCAGTACTTAAGTGTAATGATATAAACGCTGTCTAGTTATCAAGAGATTTATGTCTCGATGAAAAGAAATTATA